GAATAGTAAGATTTAAACTTCCTAAGGAAACTGCATTATGGAGCTTGAGAAGAGAAAAGAAGACCGGGTTTCAAACAATGTCTGATGAATTACTTTCCTCCAGCCGTTAGAGCTAAATCGTTCTAGTCCTGAAATACTTCCCTACTTCCATCACGTTGTCATTAATGAGACAACTCAACCCCCTTCACCCCAGAAGGCCTTGCAAAGGACAAGGTTCTCCATCCGTTACACATAGATCCTTTCTAAAAAATGATAAGATGGGGCAGTTGGTCCATGGATGTCTCTTTTCCAATAATGGCAGAGTGAAACGTGGAATCGATCTTCATGAAACAGATCAGTAATTGAAAATAGTTGGGGAATCTGTGATAAAGCCCTCGGAGGTCCTTGTTATGTTTCAAGGTAATTGATGACCCGGCACCTGGAACTCCGCCTTTGAGAAGACCCAGAGTCCAGACTTCCTCCTAATCACTTTCCAATCCTCCCTTCCCCCTATAAAGCTCCCTATTCAGTGTCTGTGAACCTAGAGAAAAGGGAAAGGAGGCAACTCAGAATTTGGGGCGGTTAGAAACCTGGCGGGGAATTTTAGTCAAGGAAAATCCCCTGATAACAAGAAGGGGAAAGGAGCCAGAGTGTTAGATCCTCAGGTTTTGAAAAAGATGAACCGTTCTTTCAATCTCTCCTGGGAGGGCGGGTCAGAGAATCCTGGGAACAGTCTGACTGAACCAACCTTCCCAGGATCTCCTACCTCACTTAATTCAGCTCCCAGCCTGAACCTGGCTTTTCCTTCCAGCTTTCCTTTCTTTCCACCCACTTTGTAGAGGGGCTGAAATTAGCTTTTTTTTTTTTTTTTTTTAGCATTATCTCTACCTGACCCTCTCTGCACCTACAGGAAGCTCCCCGAGGAGAAGTTATAGATACTCCCGCGTCTGAGAGGATTAGAGAAGCTGAGCAGTTATCAGGACAGCTCTCCAGTCAATTTCCTGAATTCTTATCCTCAGCATCAAGCCAGAGGACACTGGGCTGATCTCAAGTTAGCCCTCAGAGAGGAAGAGACGGACTCCTATTGGACTCCTCTCCGTGTGACTTCCAGGCATCTTTGTTGTCATTAGAGTGATTATTTTTAATTGCGTTATCAGTGCTCCTGTGGCCACAACTGTACCATTACGAGGAGCAGCATTTCAAACTTGCAAACCCCGTTTAATGCAGCTCTTGGCAACGAGGGCCCCAACCCCTTGCCAACAACTGCAGATTAAGCATTTGTTATGGGCGTCTGCAATTAGCTGTTCCCTCTGCTAGGGGCACATGTGGTTGTCTTTCCCAAAGCACAAGCAGGATCCCCGGGCGAATGGATTTTGCGTTCTCTCGGAGGTTACTGGGATCCCGATTCCAGTCGTTATCTGCTCTTGCCTCTCCTACCACCGCCTAAAGTGGGGTTGATTTATATGTGCGTGGGGGTGGGGTAGGAGGGAATCTTGGTTTACAAGGCAGCTGCTGCTCCCCAGCTCCCCCGCAGTTTCCTGGCTCCCTTTAAGCCGGACCTTTATTGGTATCAAAGTGCTCTGCAGGCTTTCCACAACCTTGCATCATATGTCTTTCATTTAAAAGACACCGAACGTTTTTCAAGGAATTTAGGGCTCTTAAGACACATATTTATAAACAATCCGACAGAGTTCCATGGCATAAATACGTTTATGTCAAGGGACTGTTTGTGCATTTCAAGTCAGCAATAAGCGTTGATCTTGCTGCTGTGGATTGGGGAAGGGAAAAGAAGAAAAAAAAGGTTGGGTTGGGAGGAAATCCCAAAAGAGGAAAAAACGATAGCAATCAGGCATCAGGAGGGGGGTGCCGGGGAAAAAAAATACAAACTGGGGCAGAAAGGTAGCAAGAGGGCCGGACTACCCCTGATGCGGACCACACTTGAAGGGTGGTGAGAGTTTCAGGAAAGGGAGAAGGACGCATTCCGATGTAGACTAGAGGCTCTGAGACGCTTTCAAAGGGACTTATCCAATCGATACCCAACATTCCAAAGGCAGAAGGCGCTTGGGAAGGTGCTCAGTACCAACCCCAACCTAGGCAAATAGGCGCGGCATGGGGTGGGATGAGGGTAATGGAGGGGAGCTGACGGTGCGTTCTCCTGCCGGCCAGCTTGTCTTGACTCTACAGGTTGTCTCCTCTACGGACAACAGGAGCATCGGCATAGACGCAAACACACAGTTCTAATTGTCTAAGTAGGTGTGCCTAGGACTAGTTAAAAATTTACCCCCTTCATTCGTCCATCTACCCTAGTGATGGCGCCTTTGGGGAAAGGGGGGTAAGAGGGTTGGCCTCTGGAAACGGGCAGGCAAGCCAGAAATCGCCTTTTGTTCGGAATACACATCGAGTTTATTTCCCCAGCATTTCATTAGCCTCTGTGGGTGCGTTCATGCTCTTTGGACATTTGCATATTACAGTTTATGATGGCCGCCCTGCTTGGATAGGAGCTATTTTAAAATCTACGTCAATAATATAGTTGTTGAGCTTCATCAAGCACTCGCACCCCGCCAACACCACGGTCTCTAACTTAATCTGCACCATGACATACATTCCTGGAGTGTTGTAAAACGACTGTCAATGATGTCTTTTGAAGGCAGAAAGGAGGTTTTGCTCTTTGTTGGGAGAAAAAGCTTTAGGACCGGAAGACTAAGACTGGCAGATGCCCAGTCTAGCCCCGAGGGCTAAAGGGGCCTGGGGTTGATTTGCTTTTCTTGAAGGATGTTCTTCCTCCCTCGCTCTCGGCGGGGAAGTTCTGTGGGGCCCAGCTTTCTTGCAGTCCGCCACGAGCAGACTCCACCGGGTTTGGGGTGTCCGGGTGCAAGCGCATGTGTGTCTGTATTTAGGGGGTGGTGGTGAAAGTGGCACACCCCGCCCTCCCCAAGATGACCTCCAGGTGGTCTTCCTGTTTGGTTCCTAGGCCAGGAAGAGGACGTCAGAGTTGGGTTACACAGCCAAGGTGAAGCCTAGTTAGAACCTGGTGGAAGTGTCCGGCTGTGCCCTGGCCCCGTCTGAAGCCCAAGAGCTGGTTTCCTGTCATTCCAAGGCTTCACCCAACCTTTTCAAGAAGTACCAGTCCCCCTTTTTCACCCTCCACTACCCACCTAGGCTTTCGAGCTTTGCTCGGACTCCCAAGCTTCTAGGCCTGAGTTGGGGCAGGAGTGGCAGATGCCTCAGATGCCCTGCGGTGAAAAGAGGCCACCCTGGCCCTTTCAGGCGCAAGCATATCTACCCAGTTCTCTCCTCTCTCCTCTTGCTTGTCTGGGCTCCCTGGAATTTGCTCTGCGCTCAGCTCCGTCCACCTCTTGCGTTTGGGCCTCTGGCCCTGAGACAAAGGGGCCAGTTTTCAACCCCATCCCACCCACCCCTCATCCCTATAGTGGCTCCGGGATTCCAAGTGGGGCCTAACCAGAATTAGGAAGGCAGCCTCCTTTTTACCTCCCTCCTCCCCATTTCAGCTTCTGGCTTTTTCCAGATCATCAGTTCGGGCCCCTCCCTGAAGGACTTAAGGGACCAGGACCCAGTTGGTTCTAGCCCAGCTCTGTGCTCTCCCCAAATAAAAGCACTAGGAGAGAAAGAGCAGCCTCCTTCCACCCTCACTGAGCTAGGGTTAGGGTCTCTAGCAGCACTCACCTTGGGCCAGAGAGATCTAAGTGGGATGCTCTCTCTACCTCCTCTGGGCCAACTGTAATTTTTTTTTAAAGTTAATTGCTGCCGTGCCTCTTAAAAAGCTATGCACAATTGCCTCCCCACTCCACCCCCTCACACCCTAAATCTGTGCATGAAGTTCCCCTTCCTCTCCCACTTTCTAACAATTCCTATTGACACTACAACATTTTGAGTGGGACAGGTGAGGTGGGTGAAACCTGGAGTTTCCAAAAGGGATTTTGTTTCGAATAATATAGATCTAAGATTCCATCCCAGAAAGATTTTTCTGCTGATGGATGGAGGAGGGGTGAGGTGGAGAATTCAATTGGAATTAGTGTCTTACTTGTTTCAATTCCTCTTTGTCTCTCTGCATTGCCTCCCCACCACATCAACACACAGCTTTCCAGAAAAGAAGGGCGAAACACACACACACACACACGCACACACACACGCACGCACACACACCCTCCCTCTTAAAGTGGCTGTATAATGCACCATAGGATGTCGAATGCTCTCTACGTAGGAAGCAGGAGTAGCAAGCGCTTGCCACCGCTGTTCAGTTAATAGCTTCCAATGTATCCGGTTCCTTGGGCTTTGGATTAATGTGGATCTTCTACATAAGCGATTTACTGATGAAATAAAAGCCTTTTAGAGCATTACTCACTTTCAAGTTTCTGCGATGCCTCTAAATCTTTCCAGGAGCTAGTGACCAAGGAGAAAGAAGGAGGGAGAGTGGCGGAAGGTTTTGGGGGGGTGGGGGAGACTGGGAGGAGGGAGGAGAAAAATGGAGGGTGTGTGTGTTGTGGGGGGGAGGAAGAGTTTATTTGTTGTTATCTTACAAATCTCCTCAGAAATGCCAGTCCAACTCGGCAGGGCAAAGTTCCTGCGTGTTTGTGCCAACCCCTCCTCCCCCTCTGCATTTGTCTGTCTGGAATGGAGCTGTCTAACAGGGGCCTGGATCTTCCTTCCGTCTCTGGGCTGGGACTAGGTTTGGGGTAGGGGGAGTGGGGGGGGGGGAGAGTCTGGGGTGGAGTTAGGCAGCTGCCTATTTTCATATTCATTAGGAATGGGAGGCTGCCCGAAGAGCCCTGCCGAGTTTCAAGATATAAAAGCAACTTCGGGTCCCCCCTTTCAAGACAAGACAAATTAAAGACTCAGAGTGAAAACAGCTCCGGAGCTTTCTCTTTCCCTTCCTCCTCCTCTTCCTCCTTTCTCTCCTCATCCTCTCTCACTCCTTCACTCCCTCTTTCCCTCCCTCTTTCCCTCCCCCAGCTCACAGTCCAGCCTCTGTGTTTCCAGAGGAGGCTTAGCATCAGCCTTAGATGATTATGGATTTTCTGAGCGAGAAGTTTGCCCTGAAAAACCAGCCGAGTAAAAACAGTGACTTTTACATGGGAGCAGGAGGCACTTTGGAGCACGTTATGGAAACTTTAGACAATGAGACCTTTTACAGCAAAACCTCCGCCAGCAAATGTGTGCAGGCCTTCAATCCTCTCCAAAGGGCAGAGCATCATGTGAGACTGGACAGGACATCTCCCTGTCAGGAGAATAATGGTGAGTCTTTCCCGATCGTAGATTGACTCCTTCCCAGAGCTGTCCACTTTCCCAAACTTCGCTGTGAAAGAAAGAAAGAAAGAAAGAATCACAAGATAGGTTTGAGATAAGAGAGTGAAGTGAAAGGAGGAAAGAAGGAAGAACGGGTAGAAGAATTGCAATGGTGATCCCCCTGCCTCCCCCGCCCCTTTTAGGATCCCGTGTTAAGGTTCAGGGAGATTTTTGCAGGACGAAGGAACATTCGGCCCCCAGATCCTCTCTGCCGCCTACCCCATTGCCGAAATACCGGAAGGCTAAAGAGAGCTATTTGAGTCTCTTTCGGCTCAGTTGGGCTCTCCCCCGGGTTGGTTCATTTCTCTCGCAGCCCTATTGTCCCATTCTGAGATCCGACGCCACCTTTCCTTGGGGATGCCCCGGGTACCTAGATAAAGCGCAAAGGACAGCCTAATGGAGTCAAGGCAGAGTATTGTCTTTCCACGCAGCCCTCAGCTAACAGTAGAAATCGATCAAAATCCATTAGAGAAGATCACTGTCGTCACGTGTAACGGGTCAGATTGAGCTAACTTGTGGTGAAATCCCCTTTTTATGGTCCAGGAAATGGCACTATTTTGTTGTCAAATGTTGGCGGGTTAATGGCGGTACAGAATTGCGCACCAGACCCCGGAAGGCATATATGTACATATACATACATACATATATACATATGTACATACATACACACACTTATATGTATATATGTATGCATGTATATATATGCATGTGTATATATATATAGCTATATACACACACATACATATAAATGCAGATTCGTATCTAGCTTTGTCGATCTTTCTTTAAAACAAACAAACAAATAAAAAGAGCTACAATTCAATCTGAACAGCGCCGGGTTGGGCCTCTCTCACTCTCAAGCTGCCCCCACCCGCAGTCTCGCAATTCTTTTCAATTCAGCTTTCATTGCCCTCTTCCAAACACTGTACTTTGAAAGTCACAGGACCAAGAGTTTCTGGGGCTGCTTCGCTGCTTTGGGCTACGGCTTCCACTCCAAATGCGCCACTCTGTATCCAAGTCCAAATGTTACCAAAACAGACCATCTATCTTTTCTATCTTGTAACTCAATGCGAACCTATTATTTCAGATGTGACAGTTAAGGCAAGTTTACAATTCCAAGAGGACTTTTCCCTTATCATTGTATATATACCACAGTTAACCTGTAAGCTGCGGGTTTTTTTTAAAACAACAAACCAATTAAACGGGAGGTATTTATAACAAGCCCTCCATACCAGCCCCCTCACTTTAATGAGGGTTCCAAAGCTGTCAAGAAATTGGACCGCAGTAATCCCTTTTATGGTGTTGCGTGTTCCCCATCGATTGCAGTTTTGTTTCTATTTTCGGTCTTCAAGACTGAGAAAGTACTTTGAAAAATTCTTCGAAAGATGTTAAAACTATGGAAATATTTAGCTCCTAACCCACAGCACATATTTTGAAAGGCATTAGAGACAATCCAATCAAGAAGAAATTTAACAAAAATATAAACTGGTTCATTGGCTTCCCTAGGATATGTAGTACACGCTTCTCTTCCATCTGCTTTTTAGATATAAGCATAAATTATTTGAATTGTTAGATTTTTTTTAAAATGGGCTCTTTGTTGATCATTGAAAATAGAATCGTTGTCAATATTTTTAAATATTTCGATATTTATATATTTCAAAATATATGGTGGAAAAAATATAGTGAATTGAAAAAATCCCCAGAGTGACACTTAGAGAATATTTTCCCCGCACAGGTTAATTGAGGGGTGATCTGCTGAATTAATTCCTCAGTTCTTTGGAATTTAAAGTCCTTCTACCATTCTCTTGAGACATTCCCTTGGCTTTGGTAGTTACATGTATAAATTATCCACCTTATTTTGCACGTGTAGACATAAGTTCATTATTTCCATCAACTACTTCCTTAGAATGTACCATCACTTTTTATTGCATTTTATTTGCATTTACAATATTTTATTACTTACTTTGAAAAGATGTTGCAGTAGCTAAGTGAATTATGTTGGAGTTTAAGGTAGATATGTTTAGAATGCTAGTTGAAATGCCTTAAAATAAACTGAGATAACTTGAAAAAGAGAAATGGAAAATGGAAAGTCCAATGTACAGGTAGGAAAGGGCTGCCCTAGTTTTCATCATTTAAAGACTTATTTTTGCTTTAATCATACATATCATTTTTATGTCTTTATATCTAAAATTCTGTGATAAACTTTTGGTTTAAATCATGCTACATGCTTGCAATCAAATCCCTAGGAAATTATTAAGAATGGCAGAGAACCTTAAAACAACCCATAACAGCATACCAGACGCCATCCTTTGTAATGGTTTACTAGATGTTTTAACTTCTCTCTCTCTCTCTCTCTCTCTCTCTCTCTCTCTCTCTCTCTCTCTCTCTCTCTCTCTCTCTCTCTCTCTTTCTCTCTTCCCCCCAATTTGTGAGGGACCAAGAATCAGGAAGAACTTTTAAGTTTTAGAGGATATTGTATGAATTATTAGTTATCTCACAAAGGGACTTGTTTAGGAAAAGCTACAAACTCTCTGTATTACTTTTAATGTTAAAGTATTCTCCTTAAGTCTTATCAGTGATCAGTTTCTTCTAAAGGGGGAAAAAACACTTCCGGAAATAGTGAGGAAACATAGGTTTTTAAAATAATTAGATCCCTTAAATGTACTTTTTATATTTGTCATGAATCTAAATGTGAAATTAATGAAAAACATTGAGGAAATAGTTCTAAATTGCCAAATTGTACATGCTGAGTGAGGGAGGGAAATTGAAATTAGGGGGTATGATGAATAGCACCTAACACCAACTCAATAATCCCTTCTAAACAAGTCTATAAGTTCTGTGTCAAGTTGTAGATTTATTTTTTTCTTTTCTTTTCCTGAAGCATTTCAATTCTGCCTATTCAAAGGAGAAAGATAACTTTTAAAAGTTTTAGCTCTTCTTAAAAATCCAACTTACCTCTATTCTTTTCCTAAGTTCTGCCTTTCTTTTCTTCTGCTCCCACCTTTTTTTTTTTTTTTTTTATTCCTCATTGAACATTATTTAGACTGGGTATTCTCTTAAGGTTAAGACTCTGCTCTCAGCTCCTGAACAGGAACTGTTTCAGCACATGGGGGCTGTGTGTGTGTGTGTGTGTGTGTGTGTGTGTGTGTGTGTAGGAATCCCCTCAATATTGTTAATTGTACAAACATCTTAATTGGAAGAACATCTGTCTAGAAGCAGAGTCCTAGGCTTATTTTGCCTTACTTTTCAACTTATTAGAAACTAAGGCAAGCTTGTGTTATGTGCATTATAAAATCATTAGACTGATAGATTCATGTCAATCCTTACACTTAAAATTTAATATCATATTAAAGAACCAGAAAGGGAACATGAGATAATGCTAATTTATATCTGATCCACATCTCCCTTTCCCAAACTCCTAACACCAACATCTTCCTAATGCTCTAAACTACAAACTCTATTTCTTCAAGGATGTTTGTCCATTAAGTCTTAAGACCTGTTATTTTCCCCCCTGGGTCCAGTGAACTATGGGATTACTAAAGTCGAAGGACAGCCTCTTCACACAGAGCTAAATAGAGCCATGGACAACTGTAACAGCCTCAGGATGTCTCCAGTCAAAGGGATGCAGGAAAAGGGAGAACTGGATGAACTTGGCGATAAATGTGACAGCAATGTGTCCAGCAGCAAGAAAAGGAGACATAGAACCACCTTCACCAGTTTGCAGCTGGAAGAGCTCGAAAAAGTCTTCCAGAAAACACATTATCCTGATGTGTATGTCAGAGAACAGCTTGCTCTAAGGACAGAGCTGACTGAGGCCAGAGTCCAGGTACGAACTTGACAAGTCTTAAATGGGAAAGAATTAATATTGTCATAATTGAATAATTGCATTTTGTTAACCCCAGAGGAAGAAAATCTTCTGTGACTAAGGTTAAATAGAGAGTTAGCATATTCCAACAAAACTGCTTTCTTCTTTAAAAGGGACGTGGTGTCAAACCGTGTTTTCTTCAGAAAAATAAATATTGCAGCTGATCTAAACAATATTAGACTGTTTAATAATATTGAAAAAAAAGCCTATTCATTTGTTAATCATAGGTAGCAAAAATCTAATAAAACCAAGAGAGAGACAGCGGAGGGAGGAGGGCAAAATAATTCCTAAATGCTAATATAAAAATTGTAGCTTTCTAAAATATGGTGTACATTTTTTTATATATTTCTTAGTTACCAATATTTGAGGATAGTTTGAAGGATAGCTATTTGTCATATACATATGTGTATGTATACATAATATCAAAGAAATCTGTACTCATATTGCATGTCATCATAAAGAGAAAAAAGATGTAATAACAGATACATTTTATATGGCCATTCTATGAATAATATTATTAAAATAGGATGTTAAAAATAAAATGGTACAATTTTTCTAATCTTTCTTGTTAATCTATACTTTTCAAATATAAATTATTACACTCATGTAGATTAAATTATTTCTTCATTTCTATCCAGAAACAGTGAGCATTGTTTCATTTTATAGTGATTTTATTAGAAATAGTTAAATTTACCTTTTGAAGGTTTAAATTTTTTTTTTCACCAAGCTGGAAAACTGAATGTTCCCTTTTAGAAGAATGTTGCCTAAATATGTTCATAGTTTTAAAAATAGAAATCAAAACTGGCATAACATTATACTTCATTTGTTTATATTATTTGCATTAGATTTAGTTTTTTCTTCTTATGTTGTGGCTTTTTCCCCCCTTTTCAATGTTGCCTGAAATATAACTAAAGGTTTATAAAGCAAATAATATCAACAAACACTCCAGAGATAGTATATTTTCTTTGCAGTGTAGATGTAGCTTTCTTTTCATAAGAAAGTACTGAATTTAGCAATTCTGATTAATCATTAGGAAAGGAATATGCAGGAAAAGCAGTGGGGATTTCTATCCTGAGTATAACAGAATTCCATCACAAGAATAAGTAATTATAAGGCCCTTACATCATTAAGGGCAACATCTGGCAATGCACGGATAACAAGAGGCAGATTTTTGTTTTCATTTGTAAAGACAAATGGTTATTTTATCTTTAGCTAATTTCTGGGAAAGCAATGCAAAAAGAATTTTGTGAATTGTAAAAAAAAAAGATATTTTAACAAAAATATAAATATATATTGCCCCTTCTTCTTTGGTTATTATATATTCAATTATATTATGTGGTCATGTGTCATATGTCCACAAACATCTCGGCTGTGCATACTATATGCTTTCCCCTTAAATATTGATTCAAGGTCCAATTTATTTTTTTTTTTTTGTCCTGAGTCCATGCAGAGAGTCAGCTTGAACCTAATTTATCTAAGTTGTTCTCTTTCCTGCTTCTCATCAATGTAGTAATTGGCACCCATTTTAAGGAGATTGTTGGGGTCTTTTTTTCAATGAAAGAAGCTCATTAATAAATTCCCCTAGTATATTCTTGGTGCCTCCTGTGGAGACAGAAAGGAATTTTTTCTTTCTTTTTTTCTTTTTCTTTCTTTCTTTCCTTTTTTTTTTTTTTTTTTTTTTTGAGCCCCAGGCATGTTTGATAATACAAATTTACCAACCGGCTCCTTTGAAAAATACGTTCAACAGGTACGTCCCTGTGCCTTGTTTTGATTTCTGGATCAGTTTTTTCAAAGTACCATGTTAAATCTGCAATCTGCACTTAAATATCAAACTGGTATTTAAAGCATCTCTAAGCATTTAGACCATCATGAACTGAAAAGGTAAAGACCATGGAAGAGAAGTAGACATGAGAATACACACACACACACACACACACACACACACACACACACAGAGTGAAAAGTTCAAGTTATCTTTAGCAGAAGGTTGTTCAGCTGTACATTTTTCATATTTCGTTTCCATCTAGGTACATAGTAAGTAGGCCACATTTTAAATGCAGTTAGGTTTCAAAGAACATCGGCAGTTAAAAAAAAAATCTAGAAACCTGCATATCAAATATCAATTAGGGTAACCTTGCGTAGACATCTTCAGTTAGACCACTTGTATCTCCTATCAGTGCATTAATCTTATATTCACAGAATAAAAATGCCTTTAGGCCTTCAACTCCAAAATATGTCACATTGCACATATAAATGTAAACATTCCTTTGGAAATCCATTAGAAGTTTTAAAAAAAATTCCAGTTTGTAGTTGGATTATTTGTAGAAGGAAAATCAATGATTTTTTCCAAATGGACGAAGTTGTTGACAGAGGTCAGAGTAAAATTCGAGCTTTTATGACTTGAGATGCTATTGTCTCAATTTTTTTGTTTTAATTTTGAAAATGTTTAAAAGTATATTAGTTTTAGTGAGAAAAAAAATAAACCTTATAGATACATTGCATGGATCCAGCAAATCTATATACCTCATAAATACAAATACAGATAGCTGTGCTCTAAATGTTGCCCCCATCATTTATTTCTAATAAAAAATAGTCAATCTATTTTAGTTGCTGTCTAATACTGATATCTTTATATTTATCTCTCAATATTCAACACATTCTGAAAGGAATTAAATCAAGATCCATATGTATGGGGTCTTCTTTTGATGACTTAACTTAGTCCAGTATTCTTTTACTCAACCAGATCATATCCAAATCAGGTAGGCAGGTTGGGTTGATGTTTAATGGTCATACCTTAAACCTCTAAAATAAAAATATCTCAAAGAGTTTCAGTCTTGAAGAATTTTGGATCTGGAATCCTAATGAGGTTACATAATTCATAAAATTTCAGCTCTGCAAGAGTCCATGGAAGCAAGTGAGTCCAATGACCCTATTTACCATTGACAAAACTGAGTCTCAGAAAGCTTTGTTAATGTCGTCTAGCTAATTATTGTCAAAGCCGGTTCATCTGGTCTAGTGCTCTTTCTGTTTCATCTTACTGCCCCTCAAAATAGAAAATCTGAAATACTGGAATTTTTCAAAATATATATGGATACTCTATATGATTTTTTTTTACTCTTCTGTCATTTGAGGAAAATTAATTTTGAGAAAGAGATCTAGAATTCTTTATTATAAGATCTTACATAGGATGGAACAGAAATGGCAGAACTGACTATCTTCTTTTGAAATGGAGACAGACTTTGAAAGAAGCCTTATTGGCCCATGTTTCCGTACTCCTGTGGTATCTGGGCTCTTTTGTCATACATTTTGCATGGCTTCTCAGTTCTTTCTTTTATGCAAGGAAAGACAGCAAGCTCTGATTAAATACTTACTATGTGCCAGGTGCTTTAACAACATTCTACTTTTCTCATATAGGTTTGGTTTCAGAATCGAAGAGCTAAATGGCGAAAAAGAGAACGTTATGGCCAAATACAACAAGCTAAAAGCCATTTTGCTGCCACCTATGATATATCTGTCTTACCACGGACTGACAGCTACCCACAGGTATGATAAATAACATGGAATAAGGAAGATGATAATCACACTTGATGATTTGTTATATAGCAAAACAAGATGAAATGCATAGATTATTGGATCTAAAATCTTTTTCAAGAACCAATCTTTTCTTTCAGTCTTTGCCCAATTGATTTCATTACTTTCTTTCTTTAATGATGAACATATATAGAGTGTCCCCTTTGAAGGCTGTTGTACATGACTACACTTTCACTCTTCAGATCCTTTGTTAACTATTGCAATAAATAAAACATAGTGTGGCATGATACCTTTGGGGCTTTGTTTGATGAACCATGGCCCAATGTGGAAACAGTTCCATGAAACTATTGCTCCTAGCCAAAGCATCTGTTTTCTTTTGCTGTCTTTGTTTTTAACCCTGGACCAATTATGTTGTTCATTTTCCCCGAGACTCCTATGGTCTTCCGTTTTTCTGAACAATGTCCAAAATAATTGTAGTAGCCAGACCTGCGATTGTAAAAACTAGTTTGAATGTGTACTTTGTCTATTTCATTTTCAGAGTTACAAGCTCATCTCTTTATTGTACCACCTTGAAAGATTTACAATTACCCATGTGTATGTATACATATATGTACATCACATATGCACACACATATGTATATTAACCCTGAATCTATTACATATTATATATTAGAAGCATATATGTTTGGAGGGCATGTGGATATAGTATATATGTATATATATTTATTTTTTAAAAGTTATTCTTATGCATTCATGACATTTATCATGATGGTTGTTATGGAATCTTCAGCATACACATGACCACATCATACCCTAAGAACTTTAATTTCAAGGCATGTGATTCTATATGATGAAGCATATGGCTTGGAAAATACATATGAATCAAAGGTGGGCTAAATGAGTGGTGAGGAAGTATGAAAATGAACTTACAAAGTTGAAACCTTTATAGTATTCTGAACATATAGGTGAAACTTTGCACTGGGTACAAATCTTGGACATGGATTCTGACATTTGATTTTATGTGGTTCTTTTGTCTTTTTGCGTTTTCCTTGAGTTAGCTTTCAAAATGAAGGGTCCTTTCTACTCTTTGTGGACACTAACAATACACACTGGGTAGTGTAATTCCCAAACGTCTTCTTCCCTCGGCAGTTTAAGTAGGTTGCTAGAAGAGCGAGGGGTCAAATCAGGTTCTTGCTATAAGAAAATGCCAAGTTTTCATAAGTTATGTAACGTTTATTTTTCTTTGAAAATTAGCAAGTGCATTTTCTCTCCCTCCTACCCAATCCCCCCCCATTCTTTTTTTTTAAAAACCCTTGTAAGGAGTATTCATAGTCAAGCAAAACAAATTGCCATACTAGTCACGTCCAAAACTATGTCTCATTCTACATCTTAATTCCATCATTTCTTTTTTTAAATTTTTTTATCATTTAAAATGTATGTTTGTTATACCTTTCCTTTTATTCTTTAAGAAATGGAAACTCCTTTTCTTTTGAATCTTAGCACCATATGGATGATGAAATTTAAATATTTGTACCACCATATGCTTATCAAAGAGCAAAACACTGTGAGTGAGGGGAAGAGAAGGAGAGTTCATAAAGAAATAAAAAGCATGGCTCTGCCTTCAAGGAGCTTACAACATATTTGAGGAAACAGTATAAACATTAAGAACTTTAACAAATATAAGGCAGTCAGAGGAGAAAAGTAGAATGTGTATATATATATATATATATGTTAAACATTTTTAGTTTAAAGATTTATTAAAATATCAATAGAGAAATGTTTTATCCGTCTTTTCCAGATGCCATTACTTAAGCAAATAGGGGTCATGAGGTGATTGGGACATTTCTCTCAAAATTGACTATCAAAGGGTTAAACCCAAGTGGTATTTTGATATTCAAAACATTAAATGCAGAATGTTTCTCAAAAGGAAGAGCACAGAGTAATAGAGGATAGCTTTTTTTTTGTCTTGCCTCATTTTTGTACTGTCCTTAAATATTTTTCTTGTCCATTGCTATTTCTTTCTTTCTCTTATGATTCCTTTCTCCTCTTTTTCTCTATACAACTCCTTTCAGTTCTGTTCTTTTACCTTCTAGTCTCTTTTTTATGTATTATTCTTTTATGTTCTCTGTCTCTGTCTCTCTTTCACTATCTCTACTAAATCCGTCATCTTCCTCTTTATATCTCGATTTTCATGTCCGTAACAACATCACACTTTGTTGACTTACTGTGGAAGACTTACTAAAGACTTACTGAAGACTTACTAAGTAACATACAGTTGTAATCTAAAGTAGAAAGGGAGAGTACACAATTATATGGTGTTTGGGGGTATGCTGTGTTTTTGTTTGCTTTTGTTATGATCTCCCAAAGAGGGAGGATTGGTTTAGAAATTCCTCAGAAAAGTAATAAGCTAGTTAAGATCATTCTTGTTTTCTTCCTCCTTGCTACAGATATACAAAAATTCTCTACTGATTTAATCTCAGCTTGGCCAGACTCATATGTGTAGTCAAGTTTAGAATGGGGACATTGAGAAAAAAAATTGATTGACAGGATGGAATTAGTAGATTTTATTAACACCAAAAGAAAGTACTAAAAAGTCAAGACATTAATACATACATACACAAATATATCTCTAATGTCACAAAACTAATTTTTAATCTTAACGAAATACTACTGATGTGGTTTAGTGAATGAAACATGGACTAAAATATCAAGTATATATGGATTGGCAAATTCAAATCAAGGCTTCATGCATAGGATAAACACAAACTCCCAATTTTTTATTTGCTTTTATTTATTTTACTGATTCAAAAGAGGGAGGGAGGTAGAGTTGAAGTTTTTCTGATTTGGTTTAAAAAATCATTTCCAGGCTGAGCTCATGTCTGCCAAGCTTCAGCCTGAAGGAAACTTTTTTCATGGGGCCTAGAAATAGAAATTTATACTGGAAACTCTAGTAGAATCCAAAAATCCAGTGCAACAGAAAATCTAATCTGATTACTGTGACTAATTATAAGAATAGTTAAGCATTAGAAAAAGTTGGAGGCAGAATAACAAAATAGGAGAATGAAAAATCTGGTAGGGGCATTCTATCTTATCAACATACAGAAAAGTTTTAAGGTAATTCAGGCAATGGATATACTTTTCAAACAAATTCACTTTATTTACCTTCAACAAAACTGGTAGCAGTCCTCAAATAAGTTGTGATATAAAGGAGAGAACATTCAATGGGAGATAGAAAGCTCAATTTTGGAGTTCTAGCTCAATGAACAACAGACTTAGACGAGTGATTGTACTTCTTGGGGCCTCCGTTTCCTCATTGTTAAATATCATTCTCGAACTAGGTTATCTCCAAGATCCCTTCCAGCTCTAATGATTTATGAGTAAATAATCTCTACAGTTTGAATAACCTTGATTCTTCATGAATAGGCATGTTGATGGCCTTCACTCTTGTCAAATTTCACTGTTTTTGACAAAACAAGGGTTTATAGGAAGGTATTGAAAGAAGCTTTCAGTGGAAAGAGGGCCACACTTGTGGACTCATGAGAATTGACTTCAGTCCTGACTCAGACACACACTAGCCATGGCACTTGGCTCAAGCCATTGAACTTCTCTGGGCCTCAGTGTCCTCATCTCTAAAATGAAGGGGGCAGGCCTAAATGGCCTCTAAAGTCCCTTCATGTTCTAGCTGTATGATCCTATGAAGATTTTTTTTCCTATTATGACAATTAAACTTTGGACCATCTGATATGGTAGTCAATCAATCAATCCACAAGTATTTATTAAGTAACTACTATGGGTCAGGGCACTGTGATACAAGTGAAAAGAGTGAAACAATCCCTACTTACAAGAAACTCTCATTCTAATGGAGGAGATGTGTGTATGTGTATGTATGTGTGTGTATATACATATATGTGTATATGTATATGTGTATACATACACAAGTGTATATACACATTATGTATATATACACATGTATATATACATTATGTATATATACATATGTATATATACATTATGTATATATACACATGTATATATACATATACAGATATGTTTGTATATGTGTGTATATATATACATTTGTATATATACACATAGGTATACCTATATGTATACTATATATACATATACACATGGATACGCATATATAGATTGCGTGTAATTTATGTGTATACATGTACACATGTACACATAGGCATATACATATGTGTGTATATATACATACACAGGTATGTATATATACATTCATACATATATACAAATGTATATCCATATATATGGATATACACATATACATATGACCATAAACATGAATATATGAATGTATTTACACATGCACACATATGACTATGAAATATACACATTTGAATGCATAAACATATACATACATACATCTGACATAAATAAAAATTAATAACTACTAAATAAATATAAACCTACACAAAGTAGCTAAATTCAAAGTAATTTGAGAGGGATGGCCCTAGTCCTTGGTGAGATCAGGAAAGGCTTCATACAGAAGATGGTTTTCAAACTACTTCTTAAAGGAAGAGAAGGGCTCTCTAACCTTTTCTTTAGTATAGTAATATATTGTATCAGTAAACAAACAAGAATGCCTGATGTGTTCTGTCTGAAGCTGATGAAAATACAGTTAAATATCCTTTGTGGCAATATTTTTACACATTTAAATTATTACATCATGAAATTCTTGAGAAATAGGACAGCTCTTTTCCCCCCCAAAGTCCTTCATTTCTGTGCATACATCACTTCTAATATTGTATAAATATTAGATTTACCTGCAATCGTGATCTGTGCCTACAGATATTCACTTCTGAGCATGACTATTTTATTGTTTGCCCATGTGGAGTTGGTAATATGAAAAGATTTAGTGACCAATTATAAGGGCTTTAGTCCTTGTTTTGATGCTAACCAGCTGAGTGGTCTTTAAAAGACATCTTGACCTCCATTTGGTTATTGAGAAAAGCAGAGGAGTCAATGATTTCTAAAGTCCCTTTAGC